ACCAGAATGTCTGTTGAGGATGTTGACCTTTCCATTGACGGTTAAATCCGTAAACCATGGAACATAAGAAAAGAAACATCCGGTCTTTGGATGATATGTGAATCGAAGAACTTAATTTGGTTGCTATCAACTCACATAGAAACGCGCAGAGGGGAGTCCTATTGCCTTCAGATGCTCTATCAACCATCATCTGCTCAGTTGAACATTTGAAAGAACATAAGACTCACGCGCAAAATTGAACTTGTAGACCTGGAACGACTTCTCCGGATCCCCGATGGCACCCTCAGTCACAGTGCCAAATTCGGAGGGGGCGAAGAGTTTGACGCCTGCGGCCTTCGCAGCTTCGGCAATGGGATATTGCGAGGGAAGTCCTCCTAGTTGTGACAAGGTGGAAATCACCACATCAACAGCATGGTCTTTGAAGATCGACGTGACACTCGCGACATCGTCATAATCGACCTTGAACATCTTGGCACCAAAGTCCGGCCCAGCCGACTTGGAGCTCTTTCGGCTCAAGATGATAGTACTGGCATTTTTAGATATCAGAGACTTGATGATGACCTCACCAATACCTCCTGCTCCTACAACAGCAAAGGATTTATAGGACGAAGTCATCGTGCAAGGAAGAGCTGATTATCTGAGGTCATGAAACGTTGGGCTTTATATTGTTGATCTCACATGACGGACAGTATCATGACTAACAACCTGGTAGTTGATATCTAAGCCTTCTTGTTAAGCAATACTTGGAAAAGACCTGACATCATTACGAACCCTCCGAGTCGGCGGGTACCTACGACCCGGTATGTCAGACCGGTATCTTTTGCATTGGGAGGTTTACGCCGACAAGGATTCATTGCCAATTTCTCGGCATGCGCTGTAGATTAATGGCGGGATGTTCTACGACCCTGAAATTGATCAATCGAGTGATTCGTCCTCGCTAGCCATACACATAGCTAATATCAAGATAATTGGTCCGCGGCTGCATGGATTGGAACTGGTGCTTTAGCATTCTTGGTCTCAACGTGTCGTGTCTACACTTTAGTAAGTGGGTTCAGGAATACACCCTTCTACCGAGCCCAACTACTTACTTTCAGTCTTGTAAAACTGTTGCAGCGTCACCCATTCATGACTAGGCCAGAGCCTATTGGTACTACCGGCTGGTTCGGCGCCTTCTCCCTGAATCGATACATCCCATCCAGTACTCCCAACTCCCTTCTCCATCTCCTCCAGTATCATTAATTTGAGTTCGACATACTCTCCAGGTAGCTCATCAACACGTGCGATTTCCTTGTTAAGCAAGCTGGCAATCTCAACGAGTGAAGCGCGCTGGCCTTACAGTCTGAACTCCTTGAACTCGAGGTCCTTGGCAGGGAGACTTGTCAAAACATGAGCTACGAAGCCTGGAGAATATCAGTCTCCGGTACTCAGCACTCAGGTTTGATATAGATCTCACCTCCAATGTCTTCGTTGGCTGTCCAGCTAACCGGCTGGGCACCAGAGTGTTTGTTGAGGATATTGATCTTTCCATTGACGGATAAATCCGTAAACCAGGGGACATAGGAAAGGAAGCCTCCGGTCTTTGGGTGCTATGTGAATGGACAAACTGAATCAGTTCGCTATCAACTCACATAGAAACGCGCAGAGGGCAGTCCTATTTCCTTCAGATGCTCTGGTACAATTGGCAAATGAATTAAACACTTGAAAGAATAGAAGACTCACGTGCAAAGCTGTCTTTATACACGAAAAACGACTTCTCAGGATCCCCGATGGCACCTTTGGTCACAAATCCAAATTCCGAAGGTACGAAGAGCTTTACGCCTGCGGCCTTCGCAGCCTCTGCAATAGGATATTGCAGCGGAAGTCCCCCACCGAGCTGCGTCAAAGTTGAGATTACCACATCGACAGCATGATCTTTGAAGACGGACGTGACACTCGCGACATCGTCATGAACACCTGGGCGCCAAAGTCCAGAGTGGACTTGGAGCTCTTGCGGCTCAATATGATGGTATTGGCATTGCGAGATAGCAGGGACTCGACGATGAACTCGCCAATACCTCTGCTCCTACTATAGCAAAGGATTTATAGGTCGAAGTCATCTTGAAAGGAAGTTGAACTGATTATCTGCAGGCATGGACGTTGGGCTTTATATTGTTGATCTCATATGACGGCCTAGTATGAAGGCATTATCACGACAAACAACCTTGTAGCTGATATCTAAGCCGATTTCCCGCCTGAGGCTGACGGCGGAGAACGTCGTGTTCTGGGGACTGACATCATCAATCAAGGGCGTCGAGCGTCAGAGGCCAGAAGGGCGTTGGTCGCGCATCGAGAGTGACGTCCAAGATGCCTAAAGCTCCGAGGGCCACTGGCTCTAAGACATCCAAGAAAACCACAAGTACACGAATTACACTGGCCCAAGCGTCTCGATCCCAAGAAAAGCCAGAAAAGCCAAAGGAATGTGCATCTCTTGATTATAGTAACCGGTGTTTCCGGCTAATATTAATCTGCAGAGAACAGAACCGAGGCGAGAGATAGCAGTTTTACCCTACGAATGGCAATTTGGGTCTCGCGAATCCATGCATTGGTTGCTTAGCTCTCGTAAATAAGAACCTGAGTTGTAACAAATTGTGGCGCCTTGGAATGACTTGCTTCAACTTTTGAAACACCGACGGACTGTCACACTGATGCAGAAAAGAACCAGAAGACACCTATGAATACAATGGACTAGTTGAATAGCAAACATAGCAACATCAAGTCAATCAAGTCGAATCACTTCTCTTTCACATCCGCAACATTGTCACTGCTACTCTCTCCAACATGCCTCTCTCCCCGCTCAGTGATGTCCTGGTGAAAGTCGTAGTCCCGCAGATGGAACATGACGGCGGGGACCGCGACGAATAAAGCCCCGACGATGTTCCCTAGATAGGATGCAATCAAAGATCTATTTAAAATACGTCAACGCCGTTACGCTTGCTTTGAGACTCACTTTCTGATATACTCGGCAACTGTAAGCTAAAAGCACACGTTTGGGTCAGCAATTGAGAACCGACAGAATAACGTCCTCACATCAGCGCCCAACATAATCCCGAGGGGGATTGAATACATATTCGCCACGACTGAAACACTGATGAGAAAGGACTCTTTTCGCACAGAATCATACATACCGTGGTCAAATCCACAAGCAACAAAGACCTATATACAGCCAAGAGCATCAGCTGATATTCGCAAGAAAGAAGACGCGAGCGGGACAGGCACCCGGGGTCATGCGGGGTAGCGACGAAAACATACCCATATAGGAAGCCATATCGAGAAGATCTGGAGTCAGGTGTGAATCGAGATACTATTTCAAGCCAGAATTTTATTCTCACCTTTGAAATAGTTTCTCTAGCACCTGCGGCTTGCTGTAATGATTTCGTCAGCCCGATGAGGCGGGAGAATGAGCTCATACAAACCCAGACAGCGACACACACGAGCCAGTTACAGCCAATACCACGCAAGAAGATTTGATGCCACTGGGGGTCGCTTGCTTTGTGGCTAGAGGAGATGAATGAAGGGACAAGAACAAGAGAATATTGGAGTCTCACATGGCAAATGTCTTGATGTATGAAAGGTACGGGTCCACGGACACGATTCCGCTGTCTGTCAGAATTGTTGTCAGTCAGTCAGAAGGGGCCCAGAACAGACTGGGGTTCATACATTTGACAAGCAGAGCCCCAAACCCGATGCTACCAACGAGGTTCCCGAACGTCACTGGGAGTTGGGTCAGACAGACATGAGTACTGCGCATATATGATAGATACCTATGAGAAAGTTGACTGAGAGACGGTCAGCTTCTTGAAGAGGACAGTAAAGATAAACCATACGAGGAATGCTCCACCAAGGAATTGCGCCCTTCATCAAGGCCATAGGAAGCACCTATACCGCCGTCAGTCCAATTACCGCCTTTGCTCCCGAGCAAACGCACCATCATATTGCTCGTTAATAGTTCCTGTCCCTGCAGCACGATCCTACAAGCCAAAGGTGAACCAAAATCTCTGCTCCTTGTCCACGAGACCTACATCACCAAACCCACAGGGAAGACAAACCCTCCGAGAACCTTGACGATCCCAGGGTTGGCCGTATTGATTCCACCAGCGCCACCAGATATGATTTCTGATAGCAGACCACCAAACGAGAGCATCGCGCCTGCCAGAACCTTCTCTTCATCATCAAAAAAGTGGAAAAAAACGTAAATAGAGGCTGACGCAACTGCTTTGAAAAAGATATTGTCATAGCGGTCCTTGTGCTTTACGACTCCGTAGTGGACCATGGCGACAGCGACCTCGGCAGGTTTGAGCGTACTGGGGACTGGGACTTGCATCTTTGGGGAGGTGCTAGTGGTGGGTCGTGGCGTAAAGACGAAAGGGCTCGGACATCGTTTATAAGGGTCCGAAGTCCATGGGAGGCCGTCTCGGCAAGAGCGGTCAGCCGGTAACTAAAATAGTCATGCTAGGCTTTTTCGGCAACACGGTCATGTGAAACAGTAGTCTAAAACGGATGCGTTATTGTTAGGCTCAAGCTAGACCAAGTCGAGTCTTAGCGTCCTAGCCGAATCAGTAATGGTCAAGAAACTCCAACAACATGCCTGCATGCCCGATCGGGACGAGATATACATTCGATCATGACATTTTCTGTCTCGGATGAAAGTGCAATTAAAGGAATTTGAAGGAGATTGTACGGATGTAAATTCAATTAAGTCAATGATGTTTCGAACGGCATGATGAAACGCCCGCCAAGACGCCGACGCGAGGGAGGGAGGGAGCTAAGACGCCGGACAATATGACCATGTATAGAGGAACACTGGCAACTCGAGCTGTCGAGTTTCTCTTGAAATGAGACCATAATACATAAGTCCCTCCTACCACACGTGGTTGTAGTCGCAGCGCTATTGGGTACTTTACATACAGAAAAGATGATTTTATCTGGCCCCAAGAAAAAAGCTTAGAGTGCAACATCACCGAAGGTGCTACCAGGGTTCGAACCTGGGTTCCGGGAAATCGAGCATCTATACTCAATTATCAGAATCCCGGGTGATAACCACTACACTATAGCACCGACGCTAGCTACCATCGGCCACGTCGTGACCATCTGATTGAGCTCAGTGCTACCATCAGTCCCTACTATTCGCGTGAGACTCTTCTCTCTTCTCGAGTTTTATACTTGAACGATAACGATCGCTCGCTCTTGCACCAACACGCAGCAACATACATCAAAGCCTTCCCGACCAAGGCCCCACAACTTTAGCCAAAATAATAAAGATGATAGCGATAAAAATTTCTTTCTTGGTGATACTTTTTACTGTAGACAACTTGGTACTTTTACTAAACGCGGAATACAAATGTAGTGCACAATGAAGGAGAGACGACGGTTGGGGAATATTAAAGAGCAGACGACGTGAGAGTCATACGATGCAAAGGCGATAACAGACAGATGATGTGAAAGCGATAAAAGACGAAGACGGACGATCGATAGAGAGAGAGAGCGAGAAGAGACTGAGACGACGAAGGGGAGAGTAGAATGAAAATGCGATGAATAATAGGCAAACATAGAATAGCGAGAAACTGTCGCTGAGCGAGATGTAATGAAGAGCGAGGGATAAAAGCAATCGAAGAGTGAGATGTAATTGGAGAACGAGGGAGATGTAACTGGAGAGCGAGAGAGGTGTAACTGGAAAGCGAGATGTAAAAGCGATTGGAGAGCAGACGAATAAATCAAAGATGCTAGAATAGAAAAAGAATAAAATAGGAATAGACGGTCAAAAGATTAATCAGGATTTAAAAGAGCGTAACTATTGTGTGAGGAGCGGCATCACTTTGACGGCCGAGCCTTTTTGTCAGGGAACATGGAGCCATTGCCATTAAATGCCGGCTCGTCTTCGATGCGGTGGCGCTGCTGACGTGGACGATCTTCGACATCGTGCCGTCTTCGGATAGCCTGAGAGTTGTGCAATACCCCCAAAGAAGTCCCAGGGACGTACAAGGTACCTCGATTGTGCGAGCTTCGCTCCTTGCGTCTGAGGTGAGTCGGAGCAGGAAACGGTTCCGGTAAACCTTGTTCGGGACCCGGTTCGGAATAGAAAATCTTAGGCTGCCATGCCTCCCGCTCGTCCATGATGCACGAGTTTTTGAACTTCTCCACCAGAGCTTCTTTTCCTCTTCGAAGCACGTCAGTTATCGCGGAAGAAACGTCGAAGAAGACTCGGCTCACTGATAGTTTGCATAGCTCATCTGCAAGACCTTTTCGCTCGAGAACATATTCCTAATGAACGAATGATCAGCGTCGAGAATCAAGTTGATCAAATGTACGAACCATTTCTGTCCGAGTCTCTTTTTAGCAAACCACAAGAGATCCTGCACATCGATAAAGTTGACAAATGCATAACCAACATTGCACCCTGGAACGATACCAGTAAAAAGAGTATCGAGCAGAAAAGAGACGACCTACCATTCTGAAAATCCATCCTCAAATACAAGAAATCAATCTTCCTAGGGCAGACTTTGCCAATGAACGCAATCAAATCCTTGTCGCTCATCTTGTTTGGAATATTCTTGATCATTACCGTCGTCCGTGTATCGAGCCCATCTTCAATCTTATCAATCCTCAGCTGATTCCGCTCGGAAGGCGGCGCTGGCTCCCGGATCGTTGACGATGGCTGTGCTACAGGAGCTTGAGTCGGTGGCGTAAATCGTGGTGTCGTCGGGACGATTATGGGAGATCCGGGACCCATGGGATGATGAGCCTGTGGATAAAAACCGTTTTGAGATCCCATAAGAGCCATGTTTGAGCACCAGAACTCTCCAGGAGAGCCAGGCGGGAAGGATGGACCAGGGAATGGTCGCATCATTGAATGGTCGTAGGCGGGCCATTCATACGGAGATGTCGGAGAGACTGGATAAGGGACTTGGTACGGTGAAGGCGACGAAATTTGGGGGTAAGGTGGGTAATAAGAGGCCTGTCCGACGACAGTACCTCTTTCATCCCGAGTCGTATAATAATAGATCTCGGGTGGATAAAGATGATTTGGAGTCACCGGTTCAGAAGAAGGGTCTACTGTCAATTGCCGCATGCCGTTGACGATCGCGCCTTCGTGAGGTGGTCTCGGTGCTTCGGAAGGGGTAGAAGTGTAAAAGTACGTCGGAGACGCCGAGGTCGAGGCTTCTGTATGATTCTGGGTTTCTTCGCTCATCATGCTGCTCTTGCCCGTTTCGTCCGGAAAGACGAATCGCTCGCGATGAGGAGATCGACCAGCAAGCTTGATAATAGGTGCTTCCTCAGACGGCGACACCTCTGGTTCGGGGCCATCGATTCCAAAGACCTTGATCTTCATGCCGAATATGACTTGGTGGTCGAGCGATGTAAAAGCGACATCCGAGTCTCTGATATCGTAAAACTCGACATGGAAGACAGAGGAAGTGGAATGCTACAAGGATATTTATATAGCGTGGTGCTGATTGGAGCACTTTAACGACGTACCTCGTCTTCAGGGGGCTCGTTGGACCGTCCGAAAGATCTAATCCCACCATAGCTCTGCAGCATACTCCTCAGCATCGTCAAATTAATTTCCTGTTCGGGCGCATGCTCTACAGCGACGAAGAAATCCGCGACAGAGCTCTTCAAGAATGGTGAAGGCCCGACCATCTACCAGTTTATTCAACGAGAGTCGACAGAAGAAAGGAAATCATACCTTGATTATCGCTTCCGGCGTCATAAACTTGCACGACAACCAGGTATCGGTCGCCGAAGTCTCCTTATCGACACAAGCATCCAAAGCACCCGTCGACCTGGTAGACAAAAACGCCTTTGCCGCAAATGCATATCTGACATCGAAAAATGCCAAAATAACAACACCGATGTTCTGTTGGCATCGTACAAAGACGCCTTTGATCGGACTTGACTCGTTCGTGGCGTTACGGATGACTGAGCTGCTCAATCCAGGGAGAGAAGGAAGATGAGGTTTGAGGTTGGCTGTAGAAAGGGACTCGTTTATCGCAGAATTGAGCTGGTCGTATCCGACTGTTCGAGACACATTGCTGACCTGAAAAGGAAGGAGGAAAAAGAGTTGGTTGAATAAGGGTGTCCACGACGACGAATGAAAGGAATTTTACGAGCAAAAACCGTGTAGAATCGGTAATATCTTGGAAAGGACTCTGGTCTGATTCGATACTGGCCGTCGTTCGGATACTAGATGCAGGAGTCGTCGGTGGGGTCAATAGTGGATTATGTCGGGGTCGCTTGCGAGAAGAGGTTGCCGAAAACTCTGCGCTCGGCTTCGAAGCCTCGAGCTTTTTATTTTCCATCTTCATGGCGAGAGGAGAAGGGAGATGAAGATTATCGCGTGAGATATGTTGGACGAGCTGTGGGGGAATTGGTCCCGAATGGGGTGGAAACCTTTTTTGAAAAAAAAATCGGAATCGTTGATCTGAGAATTCAAATGAAATAAGCGAAAGAGTTACCATATATTCGGCAATGACGGGGAATGTTGGAGACGAGGAGGAGGATGTGGTCTAGTAGCTGGCGGCGGGGCATCCAAGGGCATGGTAGAGGGAAGAGGATGAAGGAAGAGCACCGCGGCCAAGTAAATAAACTTTGAAAGGACGTCGTTCAGTAAAGAAGCCTTTTCTTTGCCAAAGTAGAAGCCTTTTTCAATCAGAACGCCGTTGTCAAGCATTGTCCGGGTTTGGCCCGGAAAACTCTTCTGGACCGCCGTCCCTCGCCACGGGAAGAAGTTAGAGGCTCTTCGATCCGAATAGCGTTTACACGTGCATCGTCGTCCTCCATTGAGTTAGTTCCTAGTTATCGTCGCGGATCGCGAAAAAAGGACTCGTCGGCGCTGAAACAGTGAAATGGAGAAGGAGATGATCAAGATACGATGCAAACGTTTTTTTTTATGTGGGGAAATAAAAGCGGACTTTGAATTATATCGTGTGAAACGACGTACAAGTCCTCTTCCTGCTTCTAACTCACTTTTTATACGGATCAATTTCAATTTTTCATATACCTGGATACGGTCCCAAAGGATACGCTGACGGCGGCACCACTTGGCGCATTCGCATTGGCCCGATCGGTATGTATAAAAAGACGAAACACAACCTTAACGCCGCAAAAGATCTATCAAGGGAAACATCAACAAGCGGTGGCAGTTGAATGGTCGACCAGTGAGAACCAACGCATCAAGCCTCATGCTTATTGAGATCAGGAAGAAATGTCAACGGTCAAGTCGACGAATAAATATCCAAAAGCGCGTCGCTGCAAAGAAACGTAAATTCGAAGTCTGACACGGCATCGGCGGTCTTACCGATCTCTGGAGACGCTCAAGTGGATCCATTATTACATTGGCGTCTGGGGAAATTCAATGGACCGTCAAGGTCGATAATGGCGAGTGGCACAATTACCTGCTTCCAAGGTTCCGTTCATCGAGGCGTGAAATGCGTCGACGACCTGCCATGACCCAGGCCTTCATCTCCAAATGAAAAAGCGCAGCTCGGGCTTCGGTGAATGATCGTGAAGGAGGAGGCCGTGGTCTGTCCTGGTGACGCCGAGGTAAATATGAAGCAAAGAAACCGATGAACTTGTTCCTTCTATATATTGCAGCGCTAAGACAGATTTATATGCAAGAACAATTAGAAGAGATGGATCGAACGCACCTGTCACGACTTTCGTCTCTCTGCACCAAAATTCCTTCGTGAAACCCCCAGTGAGCGAAGACATTATCGCGCGGTCGAATAGAGCTGTCGTTACGGCCGAAATGCTCGTAATAGTACTAGTAGACCGAACATGTTCTGAGGGAGAGCTGCTACGGCTTAGAAGGTCCCAAGGATGTTGGTTTTTGGAAGACAATGAATGGAATACAGACGAGATTCTGCAAGCAGCTAATAAACCGTCGGTCGACATTGGGATGGATAATTCGAGGTCCATGGCTACGAAGGTGAAATAAGATTCCTGTGGGATAGTCAGTTTTGCTAGCGATGACAAGGAAGCTACATACTGTTCTGCTAAAAGAAAGATTCACGACGCAATCCTCGACGACAATGGTATTCTCTCGTCGTCCAGAATGA